CGTCAAACGTGCCACATGTAGACATGCATTTTCATGGAGAAGAAGAACACCTTTCCGATTGACAAATGAAGGGCATTTCTGATGAAAGGCTTGATTTAAACATTCCAGTTGCTGACTATAGATCTCTGCATTGACAGTTGGCTGTGGATGAGGAGTTCGAAATGAATTACTCTTTTGATGTCCCACCAAATGCAAAGCATCATTTTCTGCGGATGAAGTCCAGGATTTGGGGTCGAAAGTGATTTTTGTCTATGACTGAGCCATTGTTTTTGGCATTTAATATTCAAATAGAGAATCCATTTTTCATCACCGGTGACAATTCTATCCATTACGCGCCAGAAGAGATGAAGCAACGTTTACACATTTAAAACGATGATCATTGGAGAGTTCTTTATGGAGTTTTCCCATATTCCTTAGATGTTTACTTATTGTTTCATGAGAGACATGCAATTTCAGGGCCAATTCATGAGTGTGTTGCCTTGGGTTAGACTCAATAAGTGTTTTCAGAGCATCAATATTCCAACATGTTGGCCCCTGCCATCACAGTTTTTAAGGCTAAAGTCACCTGAACGAAATTTGCTGAACCATTGTTAACACTTATAAATGTTCAAACATTTCCATAAACTTCTTTGATATTCTTTGTGGCTACAGAGGCGTTGTTTCCCTTCTTGTATTCTAACAGCATTACATGCCAAATGTGTGTGTCTCATTGTGTGCCATCATTGTGAGGGATTAGAGCATACTAAACTTTACACATTATAGGCTACACTAACGTGACATTGAGGAGGTTCGTTTAACTATTGTACGTGATGTACGTTTTTGGGGGCTGGTAAATGAAAGTGTTCCAAAATGCGACATTAATTTCTTGACCCCTAATATTTACATACCTCACAGATGTGCTATTTCTTACCATGACATCTTTTCAATAATTAAAATGGACTTGAAACTCCATCCAGAATAACTAATTTATTTGCTAATGTTTTGTATCCATAAAAATTTTAGTTACTGACTAAATAACCTTGTTTAGAATGAACTTTACAGATTTTTTCAGACATTTCTGTAAGAAGAGGTGGGCCCAGCATGGCCAGGTGGTTAGGGTGCTCGACTCGCAATCTGAGAGTCGCGAGTTCGAATCTCTGTCACACCAAACATGCTCACCCGTTCAGCCGTGAGGGCATTATTATGTGAAGGTCAATCCCACTATTCATTGGTAAAAGAGTAGCCCAAGAGTTGGTGGTAGGTGGTGATGACTAGCTGCCTTCCCTCTAGTCTTACACTGCTAAATTAGGGACGGCTAGCGCAGATAGCCCTCGTGTAAGTTTGCGCGCAAATTAAAACAAACAAACAAGAAGAGGTAGTTTATACTCGCACTTTTAATAGTCAAATTCTAAAGGTATAGCTAGAGGCCAGTTGTCCGAAGTATTAACAATCTTTTAACCCTATATGCATGGGTGGGGCCAAAGTACACATGCCACAACCTTTACAGAGTACCATTCAACATAGTACTGAGTATTTGATGTCAGAGTTATCAGCTGTTAATTTTACCAGGCATTGTTTATTTAGTGATAATTCATGGTAAAGGAGAGTAAATACCAGAAAACATATACGGGATTCTGAAAAACTGTATTTTACTTTACACAAATGTAGTATGAAAACTTTATGATGGAAAAATGTTTCTTTATTTTTCACATGTACATCACCATGCACTCTGACTTGTTAGACTCTGATTCAGAGTAGCATCAGCAATTCACAGACATATCTTGAGCACAAATACTTTTATAAAACATCTGTTTGGTTTTTTGTGTACAACAGACTTGTAGAATTTACTACATTATATAAACAGATGGGCAGAAAGTACATATTTGATTAAAAATATTTATATCTCAGTCGTGCCTTTGAGAAACTTTGAAGTATTTGATACATACACACTTAGAGTTTTTAATTTATAGTTTTTTTTCCATAAACCTAAAAAAAGTACTTTAATTGATCACTTATTCATAAATATTTAGACAATTTGAAGATTAGTAAAATTTCGACTCTGAAGATGGCATTTTGTATAATTTTTTATAAAATAAAACTACTTGATTGGTAATCATCCCTTTTAATCTTGTTGAATATGGCTGTTTTAATGTGAAATAGAAAAATAGTGTATTTTTAATTTTTGTAAACAATAGTTAATGAAAATACTTCATGTGGTTGAAGTAACTAAAGTTGAATTAAATTACTTAATGGGCTTTATTTAACTGTGATACTGGCTATATCTTAAGAATAGTTGAATTAGGTTTCGCATCTTTTAAGGGCAGTTTCAGAATTTAAAAGAAATATTTAAGACTTTATCAACAGTGTTTTGATGGCTGAAAGTGTTGAATATTAATCGTTGAATGATGACAACAGTTTTAATGTAGTATTCCTGCTTTTTTTTATTTTCAGCTATAGCTAATGGATCAATTACCAATGGTCATAATCTTCCAAATGGCATGAATTACAGAGGAATGAATGGAAGTTATGAATTTTCTTCAGACTATGGAAGTCCACTTTCACGTCTTAATGACAGTGTTGCTTCTTTAGATCCTCTTGTTGCAATGGAAAAATCACTAAACCAGGTAAATATTTTACCACTTTTCTTGTTATTATGATTATTCGTTTATTGTTTTTACAATAGCATTTTCATGGTCTCACTTCATATTGTTGAGTATTTGTTAGTGGCCTAAACTTTGAACAGTATCAAATCTACCATCTATGAAATGTATAGAACAGAAGAATTTTGTAAGTTTAACACTGTATGTGTGTTAAGAGTTCAAAGACAAGCTTTGCTTTAAAACTGAGGTGAATTTTAATACTTAATATGTAGACTAGTATTTCAGTTAAGCAGATAATTTCTGGATTCATATGTCAGTAAATGAGAAATTGCTTTTGTTTTAAAGTATTAAATTAATCTTACTTACTAAAGTAGGTCATTATATTGTAGTTGGCTCATTAGATATGTCATTATATTGTAGTTGGCTCATTAGGTACATCATTATATTGTAGTTGGCTCATTAGGTACATCATTATATTGTAGATGGCTCATTAGATATGTCATTATATTGTAGTTGGCTCATTAGGTACATCTTTATATTGTAGTTGGCTCATTAGATATGTCATTATATTGTAGTTGGCTCATTAGGTACATCATTATATTGTAGACGGCTCATTAGATATGTCATTATATTGTAGTTGGCTCATTAGGTACATCTTTATATTGTAGTTGGCTCATTAGGTACATCATTATATTGTAGATGGCTCATTAGGTACATCATTATATTGTAAATGGCTCATTAGGTACATCATTATATTGTAGTTGGTGCTTTAAGTATGTCATAATATTGTACTTGGTTCTTTAAGTATGTCATAATATTGTAGTGGGCTTGTTAGGTATGTCATTGTGATGTAGTGGGCTCCTTAAGTATGCCTTTATGATGTAGTTGGCTCATTAGATATCGAATTATGATGTAGTTGGCTCATTAGATATCGAATTATGATGTAGTTGGCTCATTAGATATCGAATTATGATGTAGTTGACTCATTAGATATCGAATTATGATGTAATTGGCTCATTAGATATTGAATTATGATGTAGTTGGCTCATTAGATATCGAATTGTGATGTAGTGGGCTCGTTAAGTATGCCTTTATGATGTAGTAGGCTCATTAGATATCGAATTATGATGTAGTGGGCTCGTTAAGTATGCCTTTGTGATGTAGTTGGCTCATTAGATATCGAATTATGATGTAGTTGGCTTGAGAGGAACATCATTATATTGTAGTTGACTCATTAGATACATCATTATGGTGTAATTGACTCATTAGATACATCATTATGGTGTAATTGACTCATTAGATACATCATTATATTGTAGTTGGCACATTAAATATGTCCATAGATTGGTAAGAAGAAATAATCATACCAATAATAACTTTGAATTTATACATTTCTTTTGTTTATAGCAAATGTGCCCTCCTGGTATGCATGATCAAAGCAGCCAACAGATGTCTCATCCAGCCACCTCTGCTTCTACTCTCGGGACCAGCCAAGGTCACCAGTCATCCAACTACCAACAGAATGCACCCCTTACCCCATCATCTACACAAAACCAAGGCATGATGCAGCATGGTCCCAACACACCACACACACCTCATACTCCTCACACCCCTGGTAATGGAGGACCTCCAAGCATTCCACCTCCATCTGTTGGAACTCATGGAAACAGCATTGAAGCCAATAACAACAACAGCAATTCAAATCCACCCAATAGTCAGCCTTCATCTGTGACCAATGATAACTCACTTTCTCATACTGCTGATCTCAGTGACCTCAATTTTGATCCTGCTGCTGTTATTGATGGTGAAGGTCAAGGTCAGGAAGGACTTAATGTGAGTATTGATGTATTTAGATAAATTTATTCAGAAGCTAGTTAAGAATTGAAAGATTTATTTCATTTCTCATTTCCACTATGAAGAAAAATTTGAATTCAAAATTTTTTTGTGAATCTGTCTACCTTCATCCATTGCAACCACATTTAGACCAAATCTAAACATTCCAAAGCATCTTATAAAGTTCCATACCATAACCAAGAAAACAGTGCACACAACTTTATTAACTTTAAAATACATTTTGATAAATTGCATCTATTTTCCCAACCCCAGTATTAAGCTGTATTTGTAGGTTCTTTTTAAACTATATAAATTATTATGTAATAATATTACCCAATACACTGTTATAATATTTAATTTATTTTTTGCAATTTATATATGGGATAATTTGTAACACATTTTACTGTAATCTGTGAATCCATGTTTGGGTGAAATCAAATGCATTGAATTTCTAGATTACACTATGTCTGATTTAAATATTTCATTGTACTGTTCCATTTTCAGCACAGTACAGAATAGCTTTGTTATTCTTTCAGTTGTTACCAGAAAGTGTAGTGGACCCCATGGAGCTATTATGTTATCTTGATCCTCCTGAGATAAGCACTAGTGGGAATTCTAGCACAACCTCAGGAAGTACAACCAACACAACAACAGTCAACAGCAGTGCTACAACGTCAACCTCAAATAGCACAAATGATGATATTCTGGCATTTTTTTGAGTCCTAAGTGCATTTTCAAAAATTATAATCACTATGTCATAATAAACAATGAAATGTATAAAACTGATTGGAACTGAACAATAAATCCAAAAGTATATGGAACCCAAGTACAACTTGAGGTTAAAATCATTACCAGTTTCACATTGAATAAGTATTTAACATTTCATGATCAAGGATCCCATATATCAATAACTTGAGCTGAGTTCCTATGTGTATCGTTAAACTCCACCAGGTACAGTGCTCGGAGCTTGTGTCATGCTTCAAAGTGACTTTTTTTGTTACCTCATGTTTCTGAACTGCACAAACGGGTGATATGTTCAGTGCTCTCGATAATAGTAAAAAAAATAAACAAAAAGTGTAGTGATTTATTAACCAGTGTCTTCATTTTTAACCAGAAGGACATGACCCAAAGTGTTATGCAAAGTTGAACTTAAAGGAAAAGGTATGAAAGAGTGGTTTCTGTAAGGAAAAGATTTCTTTGTTGAAGAAAAGGTGACGATTTTGAACAATAGGTGCATGTTATGTAAATTTTGCCCCAGGTTACAGCTTCAAGACAGCTTTTATGTACTGTACTTATGTATGTGGGAATGTGTATATATATATATATGATCATGGTAACTTGTAATATGGTGTCTTGTTTTGTGCTGTATATTTATTCATTGTCTGTCTCTGCCAGCAAGTTTGTTAATGCTTTCAAACTGTCCAGCCAAAATGTTGATGCAATCAGAAGTATGCATTATATGTTTATTGTTTAGTTCTTGCTCTGCATTACACTCATCGAACTGATTAGTAATCACTATTGTACTGCCACGAATTTTAGGCCAAAGAAAACATTAAACACTGGTGTTCATCACTTCCAGTTGTCCATCTACTTCAGTCATTGTCAATGATGTAGTACTCTCATTGCATCTAATTTAACCTGCAATGTAGCATGAAGTTTATTTTGTAATGTTTATATTGTTGAGTATCTAAGCATGGTACTGCTTATATTTTCTTTAAAGTGACCTGGGATTAGAAGGCTTGATGGGGAAAAACATTATTCATGTATTGTCAGAGTTGCTGTGCTGTCATACTAGACAATGATATATACTGTAGTAAATTCTGTACAATTTTACAAATTTTTCTATTTTCTCTCTCTTTCTGAATGTATGTGCTCTCTATTTGTTTTTTATTTTCTCATCCTCATACTTGCTATGGTCAGTATGAATAGACCACTTACATCCTTGGCAGAATAACTGTACTGGTTTTCCCATCCAGTTTATTTGACATTTTTGGGCTTTGCTTAATTTATGTTTTCTCCTCTATTTCACAAAGTGTTGTATGGTTTAAGTATGTTTTTAAGGCACAACCAGGTTACAAATATGGTTATATTTAAAATTGTTGTATTTTCTGCAATTGTTTCTGTTTTGTAGGGTTTAGAACAAACATTTTAGCACAACAAAATTTTAACAATATAAGCTGCTTTTATATGCACCTGAATGACAATGATTTGAAATCATGAAATATGCAGTTTTTCACACATATATTGAACCATTTCTTGTAATTTTTTATTGTTATGTCCTGCTGATGTAGATATGCATATTTATATAATAAAGATTTTATGTTACAACATTACTGACTACAGTATTTTATATTGTCATAACTAGATATTTTTAGATTTGTTTGAAAATGTTTTGTTGTAATCAGTAATTATTAAATATATATATATATATATATATATATACACACACACACACACAACAAACTATTTAAGACTAGTTAGTATTTAAAATAAAAAAAATAAGTTTTTACAAAACATCACCTTTAGAAAGTAAAACGTTATTACCATTTTATCTGGTCAATTTTTAACCCATTCACTGCATCAACTCATCAGTCAATGCTGTCTAATAAATCCTTAAAATAATCTGGATTTTCCTCAGCTTCAGTGGTGCTTGCTGTTGTGGCAGTGAGAACTGTCACAAAAGCCTCTCAGATACTTTGAAAGAAACTGATGCATATGAGGTGTAAATATAGCAGAGTCCATCATTACCACAAAAACTTGTGATCCAACACCTCTTTTAGGAATTTAAAAAAAGTAAAAATATACATATTTACCAACCACTGTGAATGGGTTAACAAATGCATTTTTTTTTTCAATAGTAGCATAATTCTTAATGTAAACGTGTGTGTAGCTTTGTGCTTAACTAGAAAGGGCTATTTGTGCTGAGCTTAACATGAGTATAGAAACCCAGTTTTTAGCGATATAAGCCTTCACAGACTTACCACTAAGCCACAGAGGGGCATATTATAAAAGAAATAACTGGTAGAAAATGAAATCTGGTTATTGGTACAAGAGTAGATTTTGCACAGAAGCTTGGAGTTCAAACTTCAAAACCAGCATTATCCAGAAGAAGATCAATGTTTTCTAATAATGGCTGGAGACAGCTTGAATGGATAATGAAGAAAAACTTTAATATAAGTTTAACATAACAGCAAATGTACAACGTTTCGACAAGGTTTTGTCATCATCAAAGTGGGTTCCTCGTCATCGAAATCAATGTTTTTCTGTTAGAAATCAGATTCTCACATATGGATCTATGATAATTATCTTAATATGTTTAATTTTACCGTTATATTAATGTACTTTGTTAACGTAATGTCCTAACATTTATATGTGTAATGCACAATTTATGAAGTTAATAGGGTAGCCAAATTTATTCAATGATTCACTAATCAATTTATTTCAGTGACTCTTATGTGCTATTCATAATTTAGGATAAGCATGTAGTTTACCTAAATAATTTAATACTCCTAAATTAGGAGTATCATAAACAATGATTTATAATAACAATACTTATCTAAATATAGGTTGTTATAATTCTTGATACAATTTTGATAAATCAGTTATGATTTATTAACAAAGAGTTTCTTCAAGGTGACTAATGGAATGACTTAAATCAATACTATTTAGCTAAACAATCCTTTGATGATAAGGTTCCTCAAGTAAAAATAATTCAACAAAACTATATTGTTTGATTTTTTTTTCACAATCTACAGTTTTTATGTGATCATCATGGATTCCATTTTGCAATGATTATCTTATTATACACTTTATGCAATGAAAGTGTCTATCATTTTGTAACAATTTGTACATCCTTATTGGGTTTTTCTCCTCCATGTCACTAAATTTTTTGACATGAAGTGAACTTAAACTGTAGCTTTGTGCCATAGAATCACAATAAATAAACATTCAAACTCTGACATACTGTATGAAATTAATTATTCTAATGACCATAAAGGATGATAAACCTGGGTCATCAATGGTCATTAAATGTTTTTGTAATCATATTACAGGATGTTCCCTAGAAAATTAGTATTGTTGCGTCAGCGAGGTCACGTGACTAGTGTCACGCCACCTCTCGAACCTCCGGGAGATTACTAGATGTAGGGTAGGCTGGTATATATATAAGAGGGTGACAACGTGACGGGACAATGTGTGAGTAGACAGTAAGTAATTGATCTGCAGTCAGAGAGTATTATTGAGCACGTTCGTTGTTACAGCGTTTGTTTTAGCGCGATTGTTGAAATTAAGTGTATCGTAAAGCTATATTCGTAAAGAATAAACCAGTTTTATTAAGTAAGGACTTGTGTCGCTAAAGTTTCGTCGGAACGAAGTTACGGAAAGTTAATTAACAAACGGAGACGTAACAGTATTTTACATTATTATCTTATTAATGTTTAGAAAGATAAATTACATTTAGGTAATCATCCATGATTGTCCAAATGCAATATTTGGTCAGTTCAATCTCTTTTGTTTTTCTTGTTTCTTAAAAATTATGCCCTTAATATGTTATGCTTATTTTAATCCAATTTTTGAACTGTTATCTTAAGTGCTTGAAATCTTAAATTAAAAAGTTAATAAATTCTGACTTGCATATCTATTCAGTTTGTTGTTATTAAAAATTCTTCATTATTATTATTAGACTTCTTTGGTGCTTTAAACTAACTAACACGTTTTTAACTGTATTCAACTTGCATAATATAGATGTACATAAGTAAAAATTTGTCAGAAACAAGTTACTAAGGGTATCTGATACTATCCCTAATTTTGAAATGTTGACTTGATGGAAGGCAGCCAGTCAGTAGTTGTCATATGATCCATTTTCAATGCTGTAATTCACTCATAGCTTAAAGTGAGAAGAATATATAGCGATACCACACAAGGATTTGAATCTGGTTTGCCAACTCTGGTATCTAGAGCTACACCAAAGGCTCAAACCACTTTCAGAATAAAGATTCTAGCAAAATATATTTGGGCTTAGGACATAAGTTAACAACGTATTAATGCTGTTATTAATGGATCTAACTATTTGTTGGGAAATCAGTTTCCACTTGAAAATAATACAAGAAGAAAGGAAAAATAAATTGTGGTGCCATGACATCAGTATTTATAGCGGAGTTTTTGAATCAGTAATGTGTGTTATAGCCCTTACTTAAACTTTTGAGTTTACTGAGTTTAAAGAAATTATTTTTAAAATTAAAATGTCATTTTCTGGATGTAGAAGTGCTAACAATCAAGAGAGAGAGTTTAGCAAAGAAAGACATATATGGGAGAGATGTCAAGTCTAGGAGAATTCCTTTCCTGGACATAAGATTTTCACTCGCATTTTGAAGATCTTTGACATTAGTCAGACTGCAGTTACAAACTCAGAGAGATTCACTCAAATTTGGAGAATCCAGACCACTTTGGCTGAGGACCAATCTCTGTGGAAGGGGGGTACAGGTAACTGATGAGCTTAAGACCAGGTAGAGATGTCTATATCGAACTTTTAGGCTGTTGCCAGTCAGAGCACAGCAGACCCAGCTCTGGTCCATACCACCAGTGAGTAGTAGACAGAGGCAGAATGTGCCATTCTTAAGCATTGAGAGTTGTCAAAATTACAAGAGAAAGAGAGAGGCTTTTGCCCAGAATACATGTTCCTTTTTGCAAAGCCAAGCAGATCACGAAATCAATAATCAAGGGGACTGCAAGAGAGGACCTAGAACAGTTATTAAAACATTTTAGGCAGGTCGCTACCTGAAATGGATGGACTCTGAAACAGGTTATTTAATGCCTGGCCCTGAACTGAGATAGTCTGGCCCTCAGTGTTGTCCTGTTGAACAACTTGATGAGGAGTAGCAGGACAACTGGGAAATAGCCATGTAAGAGAATTAGGTGAGCTATTAGGGCAAATTCAAAGCTCATAAGAGGATTAACACCAAGAAATTAGCCACATATTCTGATTGCTTGGAAAGGCATACTTGGCAATGGTCTCTGCCTATCGTGAGGACATCATGGTTGATAGGAGCATTGCAGTGTCTGTTGCAATATGATTTGAAGGGGTTACTTCAAACGCCACATGAGAAGAAGAAGTCTGCAGCAGTGTTTGTCATGGCAATTTCAGTGATTAATGTTGTAGCCTAGGTACCTCCACTGTGTCAGACTAGACCTACTGTAAGGTTATCAACCAGCTGCCTCCACATAACAGAAATTCAATCCAATGGAACCACACTAGGTTTCAGTGAGTGGGCAAGGCTATGCAGATCTACCCTCAGGGTACATGCTGTAGCAAGTGCTGTATACAGGGCATTTGCTGCAGCAAGGTCTACCCATGGGGTTTATGCCATCACAAGGGTACATACCACCACAATGTCTACCTATATTACAGTCATGGCCAATGTCTCCACTTAGATATCATGCAGGAAGGGAAAAGTGAAATATCTTTTTCAATTGTGGATGAGCTGTTCTACTATGTCACACAGCAAAGATAGCAGAGATACAGCTTTCGTCCAACAGCCCAATAGATACCAGCTAACCCACAATGCCAGCACTTTGCTAAGCAGTATAGGCAGGAGTAATGGTACCAGTTCTCAGATAAGCAGGTCCAAGATAACCAATAATAAGTGGTTGATGATGTGGCAAATGTTCAGGAAAACTGATAGATCCCAAGTTGGGCTTGGCCACCAGCCTGAGAATGCACAGCAGAGAACACAAAAGAGTTTAGTGGTCAGCCTAGCTCTGTGAAGGCTTAGTGTGTGACTTGTTAGGCTCCAACAATGGCATGAGAGGGAGAGATTGAGTTCCTGGTATTTAAAGGAACAGGAAAATTGCAATGAACCTTGCGATCTTTCAAGCTGTCCAAGTAAAACCGTCACCACTACAGCCAATGAGTAGAGTCTTTGTTCTGGCCAATTGTAATTGGTTAGTGAGGAAAGATTGATCTCTGACTCAGCCTAGGAGTAACAAAGTAATAATTTTCTATTTCAGTTCTAAAATTGGCTTCCTTAGGTTGGACTGTAAGGTCTTTCTGTCTGTTTGCTTCTGCAACTGATGAACTGATGTTCCATGGGTAAAACGTCGAGCCCAGGAATAGTGTATCGCACAACCACATGTAGCAAAGGGAATGATAGCACCTCAATGTTCACAAATAGTATTGCATAGTTTAATCTGGATGAAGTATGCTATATTTATGCTATGTAACATAATCGTAGCAGATATGCATGAAATGAACTCCTTCTTGTCCGAAAGCAGACAACATCAGCTTGGGCAGTGATCTGTCTGGTAAGGGATAGAGTACCAGTGTTGCTTTGTA